CTTACCCGATCAGGTCCTTCTCAGATTTGAGTGGCCACCATCTTTTCCAAAGAACACTGAGAAAGAGAAAGGAGAGAAAGGATGAACTAGAGCTCCTCTTGCAGTCAAACCTGCCCTGGTTCCATCTAAAATAGAAAAGAAGAAGAGAAGAGAGGAAGATAGCAAAGAATAAAGAAAGGATTGTCAAAAGGTGATAGGGGTGGCACCCCACTTGACTTATATATTAGGGTGTTCAAATAAAAGACAATATTACAAGTATGCACCTAATTATAACTTAACAGAAAAACACATAAATAGGCCCATTAACAGCCTACTAATGACCTATTAGCAGTCATAATAACATTCCTTACAACAATCTTTTTAAGCCCCAAACTTTACTAGGATGGGATTAAACCAAAATAATAAATATGTTGTTATTTAGTTATTATAATTTTAAATTATATTAACTAATATATGATATTGATTTAAAAATTATCATAGCTATCAGAAATTCTAAGATACATGTAGTGGTGGAACCAGAAATTTTCTTTCTTTCTTTCTTTTCTTTTTGTTTTTGGGGGGGGAGGGGGCACTTTCTTATGTTTTTTTTACCCTGCCTCCACTTATTAACTATATAAATAATGGTTTTAGCAAAAAGTTTAGGGGGGCCAAGGACCCCACCAATATACTTGGCTCCCATATCATATGCAATTCATAAATTTTAATTACTAAAATAATTGTTATGTTCTTATTATATCTATTTCTCTAATTATCAAAAAAATAAAAATTATTTTTTACATAATGATAAATGGATTTCATAGATCCATCTTATAGTTCATTCCTACGTTTTCCCTTTTCTAGGAAAATTTATAAATCTACTAATACAAAAACATTAATATCAATATATCAATGCATTTCAAACACCCAAATATGTAGATCTCCCATTGAATAATTAAATGAAAAGAAAATACATTTTACTTTTTATTCTTGATTATAATGAATTTTTTCTTTTTTTTTTTTTGAATGCAAGATTCAAGTCCTTTTTATAGATAGAAATTCTCCCTTAGACATCTAGGATGGAAACAAGGTTCAAAGTATCATTATGTATCGGACCGTATTGGCCGATACGTATCATTCCAGGACCCTTTTGGTACGCCCCTATAGTGGGTGTATCGGGCGGGGGTCTGACCAGTTTAGGGGATAGAGGGGTCCTAGACCATCTCCCCTGAACCAGTTTTGAAAAAAAATAAAAAAAAAGTAAAAAAAATAAGTTTCATAACGCCCGATACGCCCCCTACAGTCCATACCGAACATATCGATATTTTTTATTTGAAAAAAAATAAAAAACAAGTAAAAAAACAAGTATCAGGCATATCGATATTTTGAACCTTGGATGGAAATGAAAGGCTTGGAGCCAGGAGTAAGAAAATGTGTCAGAAAAGTGAAACCAACAAAAGTATAGTCCATACCACCATACGGACCCATGCGAAGTGAATAGATAGATACCAACACCATTCCATTTGTGCCATGTACCCATCACTATGGAAATGGATACAATGTTCCGTAAGTATATCGTATCAATACTTCAAACCTTAACACCGGCACTTATTAGGGTCCACTTCAAATCTATCATCCCCCATAACTCCTTCCTTCAGAGTTGTTTGAAGCCCTATCTTTTTCAAAAACATTATTTATTTTTAAACACAACATAAGAAATGAAATATAATATCATACTTTAGAAGTTAGCATTGGTGCAATGGTTGACCAAAGTTCAAATCTTGAAAAGAGTCTCTTTGTATGTACAAAGGTAAGGTTATAGACATCTGTCGCTCCCTAGACATTGCATTGACAGGACCCCAAGGACCCTAAGCTTTAGAAACAAAATCCAACTGATTTGAAAACAAACTAGTTCTTAAATACAAAAAACCTCCCTTGAATTTTCTGAGAATCATAAAAACCTCCCCTATAGTTTCATTTTAATAAATATCTCCTCTAAACTTTTGAAAAACTCAACTAAAAACTCCCTCCCATCAGTGAACCAGGGGAAAAGGGTCGTGAGTTCCCAAAAATCAATAGGTTTTGGTGAGACCCCACTAAGAAAGGCAAACCGTGAGAAAATATTGTCAAGAGGGACCTACCAGACTTCTTCTCCTTCCTTCCAGCATCTCCGGCGTTTTCATCATCAAGTAAGTTTCGATTTGGCATTCTCTCGTCATTTATGTACATTTCTATACCATTTTTTACTTGTTCCATTGGATGGGTTCCCCTCCAAATCTCATCACCAGTTCCGTCTTAACTTGGTCGTTCAGATCTATCTTTTGGCATTTGAGTTTGAATAGAGAAGAAACAACTGTTCATCTTCTCTTTCTTCCAACTAAAACCAGAGGCACTGTTTATCTTCCTCGTCTGGACACAACGAGCCGGCGGCAGCAGTTCTCAGCTTGGTAACCTTCTCCCTCTCTGGTGTATTGTCTCCCCTCTCCGAACTGTTCATCATCTCGAGGCTCTTGACAGAGGCGGTGAACCAGCAGCAGGCAACGACTACCCCTTCCTCTTTCACCCTCTCTGTTTCTTCTCAATCGTCGTTGCAATTCACAGCAGCGGCAATCTGCTTTCTCTCGGCCATTCTACCTCATCAATCCTTCCGTTTTCATAATTCCTCTATTATTCATCATTCATACCAGACAACCTAAACTTATATTCCTCGTTGGAACGCATTAACATTTGAGACAATACCTCCATCGACGAACCACTCGACCTCAGGCCAAATCTGACACCGGTAAATCTACCTCTCACTCTAGTCACTCCACATTGTTGTAATGCTTAGGTTTGCTGGTTTAATATTTGGATTATTGGCAAAGAAACTAGGTAGCCGAAGCTAGTGGTAAAGCTCTGCCATGACAAGACTCAAACAATATTAGGTCATCCCGTAAATAGGATAGGGTTGTGTTGTGGAATTGGATATATTTTTGCTTAAATCAAACATCCTGCAAATTTTTTTCATCAACCAAACACTGGAAATCAAATTCTATGGGATAAAAGGTCTCGGCAAACAAACAGAAGCACCCTAATTGAGAAAATAAAATTTTCCCTTCTCATCCCATCCCTTCTCGGCAACCAAACAGATCATAAACTCCATCGAGGAACCCTAACCCCTCCCCCCCACCCCCAATTGAACTAAAGGAACCATGTATGGCTTACCTATAGAAGAAATCACAGACAATAATTATTTGGAGATTCTTCTCTAAGTAGTTGTACGGCTTGATCAAGCATTTGTCCATGCTCTCCATTCTTCTTAAGCTCTGAACTCTTGAGTATTTACAACTTCCTTTTTTCAATGTAAGAACAACCTCATCAATATTCGTTGGTGTTATTAGTTCAAGAGCAATGTGAATTATTTTCCTATGGATATCAAGGTTTGGGCATGAGAGTGCCCTAAGTATATCCTTTTTCAATGAATATCTGAGCTGAACCTTCGCTTTCCGTCCTTGCTTGTGCTTCCCACCACTTTTGGTAGTCTCTGACTCCCTGTAACCTCGGCCTCCTCTGTGTCCATCTCCATCTCAACCCCCACCTCTTCCATCAATATAGCTTCTTCTTCAGTCACAATAGTCCCTTTTCCAACCATATTGATGAGGTTGGAAAAGCTGCAAATCATTGATTTGACCTGGAACAACGGGTGATCCCTCAACAAGCTGCAAATCATTCATTTGATCTGGAACAACTTCGCATTGTTGAACATTTGGGAACTCCTTAAGCTCCTGCATCTAGTCATGGTTTGAATGCTCGATTTCTAGAGAAGGCCTACGCATTCCTCCTCTTCTTCTATGGCAAAGTAGAAACCCTAAATTAGAGAAACCACAGAAATCCTTACTTCACAATCTTACTACTAATTCAATTTTTCGCTACTTGGTAGTGCGAGAAGAAGAAAACTGATGGAATCAAAGGCTCAATAATCTCAGTCTCATTCAACAATTAAGATTCACTCGAAAAATTAAGTGTTGAATTGTTTCAGTGAAGAAACTGAGAGCTTCAAAACGAATAGAGTGAATGAGTTTTCAGACAAAGAAGGGAAATAGAAGAACACTTGCCAAAGCTTCAAAACGAATGGAGTGAAGGAGTTTTCAAACAAAGAAGGGAAATAGAAGAACATTCGCCTGACAAGAATAGTCGCCAATGAAGAATGGTAGCCGAAAAATGGAAATTATTCTCTGACTATGGCGCCACTACAAGTGTTAGAGTTTTCATTCTTTTCTTTTGTTCTGGAAGATTTTGTTTGAATGAGGGCAATTTTGGCATTTTAAATGATGCTCCGACAAATAGTCAGGAGTTATTTTGTAAATTTGTACAGTTTCTGTTTGGTTCAGTGACGGAAGGGAGGCTTTTGTCGAGTTTTTCAAACGTTCAAGAAGATATTTGTTAAAATAAAACTATAGGGGATGTTTTTATGATTGTCATAAACTTCAGGGGAAAATTTTGTTTTTTACCCTAAAACAAAAAAAAAAAAGAAAAATAAATAAAAAGCGCATTTTCGGTTGTGCTTTTTGTTTTGAAAACTGAAAATAGAAACCTGTTCTTGAATTGCTGGCTTAGAGAACATGTTTTCATCTGGTTATTTAATACCATACTCCATTAATCATATAATTTCTATAGTCAGCGCCTGATTCTTCCCACTTGAGAAACTTCCCTCCAATTAACATATAGATGATAGATGATGGCTTAATGCAGCAAGACCATAATATGTTTTGTGACAAATTTTGGTTTAAATAATATGTTTTCATCTGATTATTTAATGCCATGTTCCATTAATTATATAATTTACATACTAAAAATTTGTTTTTTGAAACAAAATCCAACATGATTTTTTTTTCATTGACGTGGCAACTTAAAAAAAAAAAAAGTGAAAACAAAAGCATTCAATGGCACCCCCCCCCCCCTCAAATGATGAACTCTGTCAAGAAAAAAAAAAAAAAAACTTTGTTTACAGAAATAGAGATGTAAATAAATAAAACGATACTATGTAAATGACAAAATACAAGTTGTGATTTATACACCAAAGAATCCAGACAATTTTCAATATTTGAATCAAAGAATACATAAAACATTTCGGAGCAGAGATAATGGCCCAATTCGCCCAATCTAACATCTAAGTATGAAGCCCAATTCGCACAATCTACTGTGCCCCAGGTTACCCGACCAACATCTAGGAACTAACATCACAATCAGCTTTCATTTTTCCTTTCCCTGTTCCCCCCTGGTCAGCATGATCTATCATTTATCTTTTTCTTTGATCGTTTGGCGTATCTTCTTATAATTGAGAAATTCTCCAAAAAACAAACTCAAGGTTAAACTCACTGAATTGCGTCAACTATTAGCTGAGATCTAGTAACGCCTTTCATTCTATCTCAATGTGCACCATCCATGTGCAAGTCCTGCAGATGGAAATCAATTGTCTTTTTCCTGTGGCATGTTGATTCTTTAATTTTGACTAGAATTTAGATCACCTTGCAAATGACATTAGGAAAAGTTCATTCTTCCAAGGAAGCACAACCTAGTATAGCCCCCCGTGCTGATCCGCACATTGCTCGAGTCTCCATCCATTTCAATGGAAGAACTCTGGGGTCACAGAATCTCACCAAATCCAGCTTAACTATGTCAAATCTCCCTGCGCCTGATTCCACCCACTTGAGAACCTTACCTCCGATAACATATAGATGATGGCTGACTGCAGCAAAACCATAACCAAAAGCCTCCAATTGCCGGGAATGGTCAGGGAGAACCACAGAAGGAACTGAACCTAGATTGTACCACTCTCCTTGATTGCTATCCCTGGTTTTGATTGAGCTTTCACCCCAATCAACTATGGCATATGCCTGATCATCTTGCACCACTGTAACTGCAAACTGCATTGCCCTTGAGAAAGGCCAAATAGACTCCACTGTATGCCATGTTCCTTCCACTGGATTGAAAACTTCAGAAGTGTTCTGGTCTGGAAATCCCAAATGGTCACTCAGAACATGAAGACAGCCTTTGCATGATAAGCCCAAGCAATCCATACGAGGGATGGGCATTGGGGGTAGTTCTTCCCATCTGCAACTTATTCTTAGTCAACACTAAAATAAAAATTCTTCCCAAAAACAAAGAAAATGAAGCAGAAAATAAAATCAAAGAGATCAAAAATATTCTTATTCGACAATGTCATCTACACAATAACACTGACAACAAGAAACTACCAGGTAGACTTGCCTAATAAATAAAGCAATAATCAAATGGAAGAACGATGGAAGTTTTTAAGCCATTATGTTGCTGAAAAACAATCCAAAGAGATTAAATATATATAAAAACAGATAATTTCAACTCCTACATGTCACATTGCTTTAAGCAATAGACATCATGTGACTGAAAATTTTCCATCCATGATCTAATATCTTATTGCTTATTTTTTTGGTCAGTATACCATTACTGCATGTCAACAACCATATTTATATTGATTGAAGAAAAGTGAATATTTTAGCACTTCCAGGCTGACGACTTGCTCATCAAGGCCAATGTATTTTTTAGGGACATCAATTCAATTTATATTAACAATTTTTCTATCAATAGGTATGGTTCCTTTTAAAAATTACAAAATAATTTTAGTTAGATGAGATGTATCCAATTACAAGTGGTCTTACAAGAATATAAGCTGATGGAACCAGTGTTGCACAGAGACAACATCAGAATCATAGCTGGATGATGCGCGTAGAAGTCCAACTCATCAAGACAAATAAACAAGGACTGTTGGATACATCTATAGAAAAGTTAAACCATTAAAATAATAATCCATATTTTGCTGAATCTAACATTGTAAACCATAGGAAAAGGTCTTAAAGGTTATATTTGTTAATAAAATTTTATAGGAAAAATGCATTCATTGTAAGTTGTCTACTACAAGAAAAAAAAAGAAAAAATGTTACATAGAAGTTTCCTTCAATAATCGATGGAGTGTCACGGGCCAACATGTATGTAACAGACACTTCATCCATTGAAGAGAGTCCATGTGACCATGCAACACTGGATGGAACAGATTTTAGAAAATATTAGAAAGACGAGATAAACACCAAGAGGAACTAAATCAGTCAGAGAATATCAGCCAGTGTTCCAACAACACAAAACATCAAAGATATGTTGATTTTAGAAAATGTACGGAGAAAGAAAAGACAAACTTAAAAGAAAAACAAAGACAACCACATCAACTATCATATGCATATTAACTGAAGATGAAAATTTTGTTATGTTGATAACTTATTCAACAAAGCACCATAATCATATATAGGAAGCACATCAAAAGAATCATGTTATCATGTTTCAGAACATAACAAAGTTTAGCTTTGCAAGCATTTGTGCTGAAAATCAGTCCTCCGATGGGATGGTGGAGATGGAGCAATTAGCAGAAATACTGATAATCATGACAAACCAAGGGGAAAACATAATTTCAGCAAACATAAACTAGAGACTGAGAAGATGTACAGAATGTATAAAGATGGATGAAAAAACAATTAAAAGAAATTACGAAATTGATCAAGGGTGGTTTTAAATTTCAAATTCCCAATTCCTAAAGCATTACCTGCATTGAATGCAAGGGAAACAACTTGAACAATAGTATTTATGGCAATGTCATGAAACATTTGGTCAGAAAATTGTAAAATCATTATGTACTATATGATACAAAACCTTGTATAGAAGGCATTGTACCTGGACACTAAATAATAGTAAATAAAATGTTCAATCTAGAGCTGAAACAAAACTGTAAACATCAAAAGGAAACTGGTGAAGGTGGATTTTATACACATGCCAGGTACTATATAAATGGAAGGCAATGTCAGTTGCTTGCTAAAGAATTATTTTAACTAGATAAAAGCACTCTATGCACTGCAATATAGTAACAATCAGTGTCTCATGAACACACCTATCATTTAATGGATCATAAACTTCAGAAAGAGCTAATCCTCTAGTGCATGATGAGGTACGCCCCCCAGCTACATAAACCTTACCAAAGACAACACTGCAAGCAAAGTGAGACCTTGCCGTTCGCATATTGGCTAGCCTACTCCATTGTTTTTTGAATGGATCAAACTGCATAACATCATTTGTAACCAAAGGTTTCTGTGGGGGAAATACTGGATCATGTGGTGCATAGGAGCCGCCAATCACCAGAAACATTTTATTCACACTTACACATGAAAACCCATAGTGGTGCCAGCTGGGATTGGCACTTGGAAGCTTAGGCAGAGGATGCCATCTATCAGCTTCTGGATCATAAGCAATCCAATGGACGTCAGTCCCTTCCGTTAGAACAAACAACCAGTTCCCAGACCATCCTTCTCTAGCTTTTAAGTTGGAATAATCTGAGCTGTGGATTGCATCTCTCCATCTCTTGGACACAGTTTCAAGCAGCCCATGATATCCATGTGACACTTTCGCCAAACATCTCAAGGCCAAGTCATCCGGCAATCCTGGAATAATAGCCTGATGCACGAATTCCCTGAGTGTAACAGTTCAAGATATTAACATAACATATTATATCCAAAATATAAACAATTTAATAGGATCATTTAGAAAAGCAATTATATCAATCACAACTCTGATCCAACTAAATTGTTTTACCAGTACTAACTAGAACAAAAATTTCTTATCAGGGGAAAAAAACACTAGAACAAATCATTGAGCATATGAATGTCAAGGACTAATTTGGATGACCAGAGGACTAGGTGACGTATCTCAAAATTGAATTAACTCAATTTCAATCCCAATACTGGACGAGCTTGGTTGAATTAAATCAACACAGATGGGAGACAACATAGCCTCAAATCTGATTTCCAGCCTCTGAAAATTTTTGGTAACTCTCAGATGTTGCACAGAGAGCATCCAGATCCCTATATATGGATTTTGAGACATGGAGAGAGAGAGAGAGAGTAAAGATCTCTTCCAGAATTGAAAACCAACAAAATTAAAAAACTTGGATGTATGCAATAATTTTAGATGAACTATTCTTATTTGTTCATCCTATAAAATCAAAATGATCAAATCATCTTTAATGAAATTACATAGGTATGGCGAACAACAGGAAGAAAAAAAAAACAATAAGAAAAAAACAAACATGTTGATAGTGTATTGTCATTCTTTCTTGTGTCTGAGAGGGTAATATTTTTCTTTTCTAAGATTCATTATAAATTACTAGCCTGGCTGCTTGGGAGACAATTCTCTTCTCTTCAATTGGCAGCTCTCTTTCTCTCTAACCTCCCTTGCTTCTCTGCTATTTTAATCTGAATACCATTTTTTATCAATAATTGGTAATTCATTAAATGTTAAGAGAATTACAAGTATATAGAGAACAAATGGAGATAAAACAGCTTATCTCCAAAACCAAAGCATTACAACTTAGCCCAAAATATTTGATTTCTCTCAACCCCTTGCTCTGCCAAAGAACCAACCATGCTGATAGCCATTATTCGTACCCATTGAATTGTAATCTCCATGCCCCCGGTTATCCTTTTAAACTTTTAACTCATTTTTGTAAACCTACAAATCATTCCCCTTGTTTAGTAATAATTTTGATCACCAATTGTGAATCTCTTTCAACAATCAGTTTTTGTACATTCAGCTCCTTTGCTCTATTCACCCCTTCCATACCATAACTTCAGCCTTCAAGGAACCACCAATGCCTATTGGACCTGAGAACAGTGCCATCACATGCCTTAACTCATTTCTGAAAGCGCCTCTGATGCCTGAAGGGGTTGGATTCCTTTGCTGCTTCCATCGAAGTTAATTTTAATGTACCCATCTTCCAGTGGCAGCCAAGAACTACTAGTTCTTGATTTCAGGGTTGAAGCAAGAGCCACTTCCTCATCAAATCATCCACCGAAAAATCAGAGAACAACTCCATGGATTTTAGCCAGTGAACCACTCTAATGGCTATATACTTTAATCTGAATAACATTTTACATTTGCAGCATTTGTACATAGAATCAAAGCATTGATCCTGCACACACACACTCCCTCCCTCCCACTCTCTTTCTTGGTGATTGATGTTAGATCCTGTATATGTCATTCAATAAAGGACAAACATACTAGATTTGCATTCATTGTGATAGAACATGATTCAATATTGTAGAGATTTGCATGGTGTTCACATTGTGGACATTAGGTTGTGTTTGGAAAGAGTACAAAAACAATATGCATTGATGGTACAAATGCAAACTTAGTTTGGTTTTGCATTAATAAATTTTGCATTGTGTTTGGTTGTGATGGGTACAAAGTACAAAAACAAATTTCAAGACTGGAATCTACTACCTGTTTTACATTGACCAACTTTGAATGCAAGGTTTGCTTACAAAGACATATTCTTACCAAATTTCAGAAAAAGAAAATTTACTTTCATTTTCAGTACAAAGACATTCTCTTACCAAACAAGAAACAACTGCAAAACCAAACCAGAGTACAAATATTCCTCAGGTCTACATTTGCTCTTACCAAACACAGCCTTAGGGATATACTGAGGTTTATTTCCAATTACTTAAGAAGCAAGGTAAAGTAATTTGTTGCAAGTTGAAGAAGTGTTTTAAAAGGCGCACAGGCAAGGCGCATTTTGGAGTATGTGCCTCACCCAGATCCTAGGCGCACTGTGCCTTGCACCTCAGCCCAGGCGTGCGCCTTTCTAAAATTTTGTGCTTTTTGCTTTTTTTTAGTCTAACGGCTGGGCAGGGGGCTCCGCCTCATCAAAGCTCTGATACCCCCCCCCCCCATTTGCTAATGTTGTTCATTAATTCATTGCAATAAAATACCTTCTTAAAAGGTAATGAAAGTTATAAAATCATTATTTTTTATGTGAGAAATAAGAATTTCAGACCCTAACATAGACTTGTTCGGGCTTGCCTCGAGGGGCGTGGTACAAAGGCAAATCATAGAATCATGAGTGCAATATGTTTTACATCACATTAGCTACTTGAAGCAATGCAATTAAGGAAAAAAAGAGATTGTCGGTTTTACATGCTTGAAAATGCTTTATATGTTTGCTTTTATTTTTAAATTTTCATTTGAATACGCTTTACATGTTATGTTTATGTATTTTCATTTTAGATAATAGATTTTTTAAAACATTTTATTTTAAAATTTAAGTTTATATTTTTTATTAACATTATGTTTAATATTTTTTATTTTTTGCATTTTTTTAAATTTTTTTGCTTTTTTTTGTAATTTTGCGCCTTGCTTAAAAAGGTGCGTGCCTCGCTTTGCACCTTGTGCCTCAAGTGCAAATTGGCCCTTACACTTTTAAAACAATGAGTTGAAGGGAAGGGGCTAAAAGGGCTAAGGGCAGATCAAAAAGGACATGAATTGTAGTAACAAATGATTTAAGCACTCATAATTTAACAATGGATATGACATAAAACAAAATGGTGTGGCAAAACAGGATTCATGAAGCTGACCCCATACAATTGGGATAGTTATGCTAACTACRCATCACTTCATGATGACACATCTGTTCCACAGCCATCCACTCTATAGTCAAACTATGACTATCACTCAGGAGGAATATGTGATGCTCATGTGCACTTCATAAGCATCCACTCTACTACTACTATAGCACAACCTTCAGGTATTGGCTCCAACAAACAAGCGATGTATAAGCATCCACTCTACTACTACTATAGCACAACCTTCAGGTATTGGCTCCAACAAACAAGCGATGTATAGCAAGTCATTATGAGTCGTTGACTTTAGAGTGACCCACATGACAAGTACTCCCACATTATATTCTCATTTTAGTTTTTCATCTACTCCTTCACAACATGCCACCTTGGCTATGGCTAATGGTATATCATCTTGTGAGTATGGGATAGGACAAGTTAGTCCTAACCCTAATATTCAATTGACATTTGTTCTATATGTCCCTCAGTTTCCTTTTTCATGTCTATTAGCAAACTTACCAAATCATATAGAATTGCTTAGCCACTTTTTACTCTTCTATTGTATCTTTAGGACCTAAAGATTAAGAAACAGAGGGCTTGAGTCTAGAGGCCTCTATTATTTATATCAGGTTTCACTGATGCAAATTGGGCTGGTTCACCTACAGATTGTAGATTCTACAACTGAGTATAGTACTTTTCTTAGTGGAAACTTGGTTTCTTGGGAAAATAAAAATCAGAGCATTGTAGCCAAGTCTAGTGTGGAAGCTAAATATTATGCAATGAATGCAATAGGAGAAATGATGTAGCTCAAGAGCTTATTACAAGAGAAATGTTGTCAAAGGTGTCACCTAGGAGGCACACTTGGCTGGGTGCACCTAATTACAATATCATTCATATTGTTACATCTTACTAATATGCATGTTACTACATTCTATTATATACTATACAAATCATTCATACTTTGTTTAAAAGTTTTACAGTTGAAATTTAAGACTTCCAACGGTTTTGAGAAAATAAAAAGAAAAAAAAGGAATAGAAATATAGAGAAGTTTCTTTCTTTTTTGTTTTTTCTACTCTCTCTTGTATTAAATAAAACAGTAATTCCACCGTGGTCTTTTTCCCTTTTACATAATTCTCTGTCTTAAATTTTACCATATAAAAACATAACGTTCTTTAGTTGCTGATTTGATATGAAATTGCTTTTTTGATGAGTAAATGAAATTGCTTTATTAAATACTTATCATATTACTATCAGTTTTGAAAGTATAAATTAATATAATTGATATATTATTGTCCAAGATATGTTGATTTTCCATTTTTGAGAGGAAATATAATGTTATTAATAAAGAAAATTGCTAATTTTCCAATTAACATGCATGCTGAATTGTATATAAAACTAGAGAACAAGGAATATCTTAGTTTTTTATTTTATGAAATTAATATCACTAGGCACCTTAACAACTATGCAAGAGATGGGAATCATAATGACATTTCCTATGCATCTTCACTGTAATAATTAGGTAGCTACACAAATTGCATCAAGCTCAATGTTTCATGAGAAGAAGAGCACATTGAGGTGGACTGTCATTTTGCTCATGAGATAATTCAAAATGGTGTTGTGCTGTAGAGACCCCATTTGTTAAATCAAATAATCAACTTGTATATCTATTCACTAGAGCCTTGCATTGACCCCAACAAGCTAGGAAGTATAGATGCTCCAACTTGAGGGCAAGTGTTAAAAATATACATCAGCAAAATAAAATGTTAAGGAAAATATATGTTAACCAATGTATTTAGGTTCTGTATAAAAGGATCTGAACTAAACTTTTAAAAATCTAAGATATCAATGAAAATATCAATTTAGCATTAATTAACATGGGAAGAGGTTAAAACAGTGCTGCAGACATTCCAAATTAAGAACAACAAAGCATGATAAGAGACATGTGGATGGATAGACTTGTCCACAAATAACACTTGAAAATCTTTTTAGATGGCAAAAAGAAAAAAGAAGATTACAAGAAAGGTGACAAAAAGGCACATGAGAGAAGAAAAAATCATCTTCCACCCAACCAAATCA